TTTTCTCACCAAATTTTCTTCTAACCAGACAAAAAAAGCTTGAGAATACATTTTCTTCATCAATTTCTATCTTAACCAAACATAACTAGAATTTTGAGTTTCTTTTCTTTTCCTTCTCATTTTCATTTCTTCCTCAATTCTTTGAACCAAACATAGTGTTAATAGATTTAAGGGTAGTGTATTTTGATGTTAACATTCCAAAAATACTCTTTGATGTGATAGATAAAGTAGGATGCGATGGATAGATTAATAGAGAAAAAATATGATGTGATAGATATGTTAAGAATTCATATGGGTAAAAGTGACATTTTAATAAAAAAAAGAGAAATGTTTTTTAGGATGAATGAAAAAAGAAAAAAGAAGAATTTTGTGAGAGAAAGAAAGTACTAAAAATAAAATTTTTTTAGGGATCAAATCCAACAAAAGGATAGGTACACCAAACACCGGAGCTAATGAAAGTGCAACATGTTCCCATCTTCAAAGAAAATGACTTCTACCAAACAACAACTAGAAGAGAGAGTATATGCAAATTGTGCACTAAAAGACAGATCCAACAACCCCCCACACCAAAACTCATTCCTATCTCCTAACTTAGCCTTTTAAAAATGTTATTTTTTAGACAAAGTTTGATTTTGTCATTGAGTATTTTTAAAATTAATCTGATACGTCAAAGACTCTGGACTCTTCCAAATGCCAAATAATAAATTCAAAATCCAATGGATGTGTTTTTCTTTAGCAGGTTGAGAAAGAAGACATAAATTGAGTCACTAAAAAAAGTATCCAAAATATTAACTTTTGGGAAGTGTCAAATTGGTTAATCTCAGAATTAACTGTTGCCAACAGTGATAAAATATAATAGAGCTTGGTAGTGAGAGAAAAAAACTAAAATATAAGTAAAATATTGAAAATATATCAAGATAGGGGTTTCATATTTTTGTTTCCGAAGTATGAGTTAAAATTCATATACAATATCAATCATGATCATATACATTACCAAAACGGAAAAAAGTATTGTGAAATTTCCATACAAAGCACCACATTACTAAAAGGCAACCTCGTAGTTAGAGATAAAAGCATGGAGATTTTATTTTGGTGCATTCTCTATGTTTTACTTCTATTTATGACGATTTCTTTTGTATGAACTAAGAGCCTGTTTGGGAATAACGTTAGAGATTAGCGTTAGCGTTTTTGATAGAAGTTTAACGGTTCAGATTACTTTGAAAACGCTAACGTTAAACGCTGGCCGTAGATAGCATTTTCAAAATGCTAACGCTAATCTTTAGAACTATTCCCAAACCGACCTTAAGACAATTTCGATTTTTATCAAATATATTAAGATTACAACTTTATCTGCTTTTTTTTTGCCTATTGCTCGAGCTGGTACCGAAGGTTGGGGTTCTTTTTTTTCTCTTCTTACTCCGGTCGTCTCAAATCAATTAACTCATTTTTAAAAGTCTGTCCCGAAATAATTATTCCACTTTATTTTCCTATTAACTACCGAGTACTAATTTTTTATTTTTACTTTTCAATATTTTTTTTAAAAAAATAAAATTGAGAAAATTAATTGGGAGCATATGCAAATAAGCCATCAACCGCCCAACGCGATGCTCGGAGCGAGTCACTCTCACGGCCCTTCAAACTCGCTACGATATCCGGAGGGACTTTCGTATGCGTATATATATATATATATATATATATATATATATATATATATATATATATATATATATATATATATATATATATATATATATATATATATATATATATATATATATATATATATATATATATATATATATTTATATATATATATACATACATTCAACCCCCATTCATTTGCAGCTCTGACCATAACTTTCCTCTTCTTCTTCTGCCTTCCTCTTTCGCTTCAGATCCAGATTTCGTTCCTCCCCTCAGGTACGCGCTAATCAGATCGAGCAATGTTTACTTAAATTCTCGTTAGATTATAATGCTGGATCTGGATCCTCGAAATGCGAATGCGTTGTTGTTTTGTGAATCGTGTGTTCATTGCCTTGAGATTGTTATTTCCTAGTTTGAAGATTGGAACTTTGATTCGGCCAATGTTAATGTTTGTTTGTTGTTTTTGAATTGGATCCGTTGTTTTTTTTTGAGTTGCGATGGATAATTGATCGATCCATAGTTAAGAATATTGCTAAATCCCATAAAATGATACGATTACCACATATAACGAATACGGCGTGATATGAAATGTTTAGGAGGTGGAAATCAAATCGTTAAAAATCTTTAGATTTTTTTCCGGCAGTGCCATGGAGCTTGGAGCTCTATTGAGAAGATGAGTATAGTAAGAAAAGGTAGAGATTTGAGTCGGATCCCGGATCTGGACCAATGTCTCTAGGCCTTTCATCAATTAAGTTTGTAATTTTATATGGGTATAGGTCACCTAACATCTTATTGATATGCAGCTCCATTGACACCATGGCTACATTGTTAATGAGGGCTGAGTTTGAGGCTAAGGATTAAATAAGCTCTCGACTTATCCCTTGTCTGTTATGTGTTTGGTTTTATGTTTCTTTGAAAAAGTAAACTAATTTGTTCTGATCTCCATTGGGATCTTGAATCCGAATGTGGAAAAGTGGGGGGTGTATTCCAAGGTGATGCATGAATGGAATACCATTATTTATTTGTGAATCTTGAACATCAATTATTAGTGGGATATGTTTAAACTTTGTTGTAATAATATCTGATGTCTGTTCAAACCCATTTTGTTTCTTTATTTTTATTATACTAAGCCTATGAAATGGAAACATGTCTGATGAATTCAACAACATTTTACCTAGATTCACATTTCAGATTCGACTCTGACTCATTTTTTTTTGTGTGGATAGAAAATGGAAACCTTCTTGTTCACATCAGAGTCTGTCAATGAAGGTCACCCAGACAAGCTTTGTGACCAAGTCTCAGATGCCATCCTGGATGCATGCCTCGAGCAAGATCCCGACAGCAAGGTCGCCTGCGAGACATGTACAAAGACGAACATGGTCATGGTGTTTGGAGAGATCACAACAAAGGCGAAGGTTGATTACGAGAAGATAGTTCGCAACACTTGCCGCGGCATTGGGTTTACCTCTCCAGATGTTGGTCTTGACGCTGACAACTGCAAGGTTCTTGTCAACATTGAGCAGCAGAGCCCTGACATTGCCCAGGGAGTCCATGGTCATTTCACCAAGAAACCCGAAGATATCGGGGCGGGTGATCAAGGACACATGTTTGGTTATGCCACAGATGAGACGCCCGAGCTCATGCCTCTCACTCATGTTCTTGCTACCAAGCTGGGTGCTAAACTCACCGAGGTAAGAAAGAACAATACTTGCCCATGGCTCAGGCCTGACGGTAAGACCCAAGTCACCGTTGAGTATAGGAATGACAATGGTGCCATGGTGCCCCTCAGGGTCCACACCGTCCTCATCTCGACCCAACATGACGAGACCGTGACAAACGAGCAGATCGCCGCCGAGCTGAAAGAGCACGTGATCAAACCGGTCGTCCCTGCAGAGTATCTCGACGACAAGACCATCTTCCACCTCAACCCATCGGGCCGGTTCGTGATCGGCGGTCCCCACGGAGACGCGGGGCTCACGGGACGGAAGATCATCATTGACACCTACGGAGGATGGGGGGCCCACGGCGGTGGCGCCTTCTCGGGGAAGGACCCCACCAAGGTGGACAGGAGCGGGGCCTACATTGTGAGGCAGGCGGCGAAGAGCGTGGTTGCCTCGGGACTCGCCCGACGGTGCCTTGTCCAGGTCTCGTATGCCATTGGGGTTGCCGAACCGCTCTCGGTGTTTGTTGACACATACAAGACGGGGAAGATCCCGGATAAGGACATATTGGTTCTCATCAAGGAGAATTTCGATTTCAGGCCAGGCATGATCACCATCAACCTTGACCTGAAGAGAGGCGGCAACTTCCGGTATCAGAAGACCGCCGCTTACGGTCACTTTGGGCGTGAAGATCCTGACTTCACCTGGGAGACAGTCAAGATCCTCAAGCCCAAAGCTTGAAGCTCTCTGAAACCACAAACTACATAAAATTTTCTTCTTCTTCTTCTTCTTCTTGATGCAGCCATTTGTGCTTTCTGGTTGCGGACGAATAAACGTGTTGCGATTTCGGAGCGCTTTTACATCTAATTTTTACATTCTGAGGCTCCGGGGAGAGGGACGAGAAGGGAATATGAGATGTAGAAGGATCTAGAAAGGTCTCTGATATGATTGTTGTTCCACTTTATAATTTCTCTTCCGGGGGTTATGTGTTGTTTAGTTTGAGTTGTTTATCATATGATACTGATGCAATTACTTGGGGGGGGTTTTGTTTTCATTGTACTTAGCTTCAATTGTTGTTTGTGGAAGTGGTTTTCTTCAGTTGTTATGAACTTAACACTTTATGAATGGCAAATACATTCATTTGAGTTTAACTTCTGCTGTTGGGTGTTCTTTCTTTCATGGCAACTGTCAATCTGTCACTTTGGTTTAGATTTATCCTGAAATATTTTTTTAAAAAATATTGTTTCATTGTACTTCCTTTGTATTAATTTAAATTGTTTATTTCGGTTTATGATGTCTTACCTAGTGGAAAAAGCTTTAGGGCAATGCCGTTCACAAACAGAATGATCACAAACTCCACAAACTATTTATTGTTATATTTGGTTTGAATGAAGTTTTTTCAAGGTGATTTATTTGAGGATTAGGGTGAAATTAAATAAATAAAATTTAAAAAATGCATAAAAACTCTACAAAACAAGATGAGATTAGTAAAAATACAATTTAATTTCAAACGAATGAAATTTGATCCTATAGGTTAGCGGTCATAAATCCTTAATGTTAGCTCTAGTCTTAAACATGTTCGTTAGAATTAAGTAAACAAAAACAACAAACAATGACAGATATAAGTGTTTGGCAACCTGCTTTTAGCTCTAAAAAGTGATACTCCGTAGACATTAGACAATTCCATAAACCAAACAATCCCTATTCCATTAATTGATAGGAACATAAACTCTGAGGAGGTTTACAATTCATTCCCATTTTGGAGGAAATTGACAATTTTATCCTTAAAAATACAAAAAGAGGAAGCTTAGATGCAAATCAACTTTTAATGGCAAAGTTGTCCATTTAACATAAAAAGAGTATATCAAACATCTTCTAGAGATAGATGAGAGCTTCTTTGGGCATATATTTTATGATTACACTACCCTCTGCTTTTTAAGAGTGCAACCACAGCCTGTCATGCAGCCTCTCTTCGCCGGCACCGAACATCTCGTCCACCCGCTCGCCGTCTCGGTAGAAATGAAAAGTCGGCGTGTACCGGACGTGCTGAGTCGTCTCTGGACACTCGTCGATGTCAGCATACACAAAGGAGAGTTTGGGGAATTTGGCACTCAGGTCACAAAATGCAGGGAGTATCTGGCTGCAAACATGGCACCTGAAAAAAGGAAGAAGCAAATCAATGGCACATCTCCTTTCTCATATTTTCCCACAACTTCTCTGTTTAAACCAAACACAAGAAGATAATTGTTCTTTGCCATAGGTAGTGTTTGGGAACTAGCATTTTATTTCAATTCTTGTATTTCAAATTCAAAATTTGAAGTCTTGAATTTCAGATGACAAGGGAAGACATATAAATTTGCAATTGAGCTTTGTAACGCACTAGAGGAATTTGTCTTAAATCCAAATCCAAATTTTTTACGATTTCCCAAACATAGAACATGATCCAAATCCATATTTGAAATCCAAATTCCAATTCCCAAACATGCAGCAGAAGAATTTGTTCTAGAAACATGTTAGCCTAGTTGCTTGTGTTGGTATGTGTGCTTCATGCCTCTGTGATCGCCTCGTAAGGGCTTAAAGCATTAACAAGAAAACTACAGAGTACTTAAAAACGGAACCTTTATGGAAGTTTTGAACATACCAAGATGCTCCGTAGTTAATAACTGCCTGCAAGAACATTTTTGAAACTGGAATTCAGCAAGCATGTATGAATCTAGAGAAAGTTGAGGGGGGAAGATTGAAGAACATATACTAACAGTGGTTTTGGAAGTTCTGATTTGGTGAAAAATGTCCTTTAGGCTGTCATCGTTAACCGCTGTAATAACACTACAATTGGGTAACTTTTGCTTCTCTTCTTTGCCATTCTGATCCATTCCACTTCTCCTTCAATGTTATATTCCCAGTTGTGTAGTGTTGAGCGCTACGAATCAGAAAGAACAAAAATATATCGGGGTATGCTATAGCCATACCACAAATGACACCAAGATTGACACCACAAGTGTCTCACATACAATGACTATTCGCGTGATGACAATGTTAACAACATACGGAGTATTTATTTAAAACCTTAATTCAAAAATTTTAAAAAAAGAGCAGTTACAAATTTAAAATTTAAGATATACTATGCATAAAATATTCCGTAATAAATAATCTCTCCGTTCAGATTTAGTTATTTGCTTTCAAAATTATATCAAACTTGAAGAGTATAAGTGTAAAAATACAAAAAAAAAACATGAAATTAGCTTGCTTTTCATTATGGGAAGTGGGAACCAAGCTAATAGGATATTTAGATGTTATTTTGTATAATTTCCAATATAGTTTGGAATAAATATGGTTAGGTCTGAGCACTAAACGTTTATACAAATGCTAAGCACGATAAATAACTATCAATTAAAGATAAAATAGAGATTAATGATGGACCAATAAAACAACACAGCGCAAGAACATGAAGATTTAAGCCTGAAAATTCAATAAAATGGACACTCTTTGATGATTTTGGTACAAATAGGCAAACCTGAGCATCCGTAGAGATCGGGGGTCTGAGCGCGAGGGTAGTCTGGAAGAATGAAACGGCCGATTGCCGAGTCGCCGGAGCTCGAACAGACTAGGTGCCGCCGGAGAAGAATCGGAATTGCCGGCACGGGGACGACCACTTATTATTGACGCCGAAGAACCCCACCGCCTCCGCCAAAGGAGGGGACGGCGAATGGAATGCCAGCCTTCAATTTGAATCAATTGCAGTCCATTACTGTCTTTTCAAGAGTGAGTGAAATAAAGGACTTCTATGGGAATGTTGTTAGGGATTAACTTTAACCATTTGGAAAGAGCAGCTTTCCAAATATTTATAGGAAAATATAAAATCATTGAATTAAATAATAATCATTGAATTAAATAATAATTGAAGGGACTTGATATGGGTATGAACTACTATACATTTTTTTTAGTCCAAAACTAATATGCAAGAATGACATCAACGTGACAAAAAATGCTCCAAATAGGGTTGAATCACTTTATATGGTGTAAATGTGTAATGTTGTAGTATTAGCACTTCTCTCTCTCTCAAACTTTCGCCATTAAAAATTGGATTAATTACATTTAGTAACAAGACAAAATTGGCATACATGAGGGACCAAATTGATCAATGTGATATTTTTATACGGAGTAGATCACAATTGATTTTGGAAAATAGATGAGCATCAAGTGATTTTGGTCAATAAAATGATATTTTCTCTTGTAACTTGTATGGTTGTCAAGATAGTTTCTCATTTTTAGTCCTTGTATTTTTTCAATTTTGTGAAATTAATTTCTCCATTTTAGCCACTTAGTTTTATGCAAATTTTTTTAATTTTATTTGATCTAATTGAACCTGATTTGATATGATTTTAATAAAAATATAAGTTGTATGTAACAAACCCTTAATCCCGGAAAGTGTTCATAAATTAGGTAGTACTCCGTATTGTTTTTTCCCAGAAATATAATTCCATTCTTCACAAGGTTTATGAATTATTTGAAGGCCCAAAGGGACATCCTTTTCTATAGCTAAACCCCAAATTTGGTCCACTATTATTCAGTGCTTATGAATTACTAATACGGAGCATTTTTTTCTTGAATCATTAGTTTTTATATACATTCGACTTTTGGCATTTAAAAAAAACTGAAAGAGACTAAAAATGCGATTGCAAAAAAAAAAAAAAAACCCCAAGGACTAAAAAACTAAAACGTAATTTGGCATTTTCCAATATTGTGGAAGAATGGTCACATAAATACCTGACATTTGGCCTACTTTGAGGTTTCATCATCCTAACTTCTTATTTCATCAGAGTTAGGAAATACTTCTCAGAGTACAAATATAGAGTTTGGAAGCTCTTACAACATTTGTAGTATATGTGAACCTTCATTGTAATTAATGGTGTCTCTATTTTCCTCTTTTTTCCCCTCCCATCTCCCAATGTCCTTCAAGTAAGCTATTGGTGTGTTGGAATGGTTACTGACTGTGAAATGGTTGATTTCGAACCCAACTCAAACTCAATCTACGCTGGAGAATGAACCTGGTGGGAAATTCTGGCACAATTCTCGTGCGGCCGCTTCTATCCGCTTTCTATCCTGCAGAAATCCCAAAACAACATCAATCTAGACATCCCGATGTAAACGGGCCTCAGAAACTTCTGGGCCCTTGGCTTGTTGGGCCCAACTGAGCCCATCAATTTCTGTCTCATCTATGTCTCCCAAAGTTCAAAAAGAAATGGTGGAGGAAATGAAATAGTTCAGGGAACAGCAAAAACAAAGGGGAGATGCAAATAAAAGGGTCCAATGGGATTTGAGCCCTTGTTTGGTTCAAAGAGGAGAAGGGGCAATGAAGATGGTTAATAGAAATGTTTGGTTCAATTGAATGTGGAGGATTTGTATCTTGAAGAAAAAAATGTAAAAACAAATACTTGCCTTCCCTTCGAGTCTAATCACAAGATGGCCTTGCCTTGATTTTCGATACTCACCTGATCGTCCACGAAATCATGAATCAAACAAATGGTTTGTTTAATTTTAATTGAAGACAGAGGTACATTTACATTTATATAAAGTATACACATGTCATAGCACAACACAATACAGAAACATCCTTACCGATGTAAATGTCTGGAAACTGAAGACACAACTTTGACAAAGGTTGAGCAACTTCCATCTGCATTATATCGTATGTTAATTGTTAACTTCCCGCCTTTGCTGAGTACAGTATAATTGTTAACTTCCCCCCTTTGCTGAGTACAGTATAATTTTGCTAGCCATAAGCTAACGATGATGAATTTGTTTTATAAGATCAAGCTTATTTCATAAGCTTCTTTGAATAGAATAAGGAACTAGCTTCATGAGCTTTTCATGTATAACTCCACGTTATTATTGTAAACATATTTTTGTGTTATTTTGAATTGCTAAACTAGTACATCCTATAAAGTTTTGGATAGAAGTTACAACAGCTAGCAGTACATCAGGGGTCTACAGGAAAGAGTTGTGTTTTATAGGAGCAAGGTTGCATACATCTTGACTGCTAGACCCAACGGAATTGGATTACATAGGGAGTTGTTGGTATTTGAACTCCTAAGCAAGCTTATCACATAATTTTTCCAAACACTAATATTGAAATAATAAAAAATAATTTATTTACACCAACTTTTACACCGCGATGTACACCAACATCAGTCTTTTTTCCCACGGTCCCACATTATAGAAATGCCTTTTGTTTCATGTTAGTGTTTGGGTACACAGAAATGATGTCACTGTAAAACTTGATGTAAAGGTTGATGCACATCTTTATTGATATCAACTAGGGAGTATATTATAACATGCTGTAAGCTCCTAACTAACCCATGAGTTATTGGGTGTCTATCAGATGGGCAGATAGCTTATGGGGTATGAGATTAAAAGCTATCGCCTAGCTTATCAGCTTCTCTTACCAAACATATACTCCCTACGTCCCAAATTAGATTATAATTCTCCATTTACGAGGCAAAACCCCGCATTTTATAAAATCAATTTATTTAAATATTGGAATAAAAATAATTAATAAAATTTACATGTCAAAAAACTACATCGAAAGTTCTACAAAACACAAGAGGTTACAAGAATGTTTTATTTTATCAAATAATCAATGAAAATACACAAACAAATAAAAGTTATTGACAAATAGGTCCCAAAAAAAGTGTAATCAGTTTTGGAATGGAGGGTGTATTACAATTACAAATCCTACTAGAGAGAACATGAAGCATTTCTAAGCTAAAATGGCCATATTCAAGAGGGGATGACAGAATCTGTATGCATAGTTTTCTTTAAAAACTGGGAGACAGCACATAATATACATAAACCATTGATAATAATAAAAGGAAGAAGAAACAACAAACAACAACAACTACCCAGTTAAATCCCACAAGAGCAGGGTCTGGGGAAGGTGTGTGTACGCAGACCTTACCCCTACTCGAAAGTAGAGAGGTTGTTTCCAAAGAGACCCCCGGCTCAACATCGAAAGTTGCATTGCTTGACTTACTGCTACTTCATTAATTAAAGAAGCGCACACAGTTTAGAGATCCATTTTGATTTATTCCATCGCACCCCAAAGCCAAAAAATGGTGAAATTTTGGCTCCATCGGAGATGATGGAAAAAAAAAGAAGAAATGGCTGAAATTAAAATTATGAGTATGAGATTTTGTTTAACTCACGTCCAAAAGAGTTGTTTCCAATTGTTTCGAAACAAATGGGTCTGCTATCGCAAAGAGACCATGAGATTTTGTCAATTTAATTAAACAATCCCATTGCTTGTCCAGTTCAGTGACATTTGATGCATTGAGAATGATCACATTATGGCACTTGATCTGCACAAGACAAAGACATTACCTGACAATCGAAATTTAATGGACACAAAACAATAACAATAAGTGAAAACAATAATATAAAAATAATAATGACAACCAACTACTTCCCAATGGAATGATCGACATAACAAAGACCGATGGTGTAACTACAATTTACAAAGAACCCAACGGCCATGAGGTGTAGCGGAGATGCATTAAAAACAAGATTATACAATATCAACCAATAAAAGATATAACATGTGGAACGGCACATAGGGTGTTTTGAGCAACAAAAAAGGTCTCAAGGGTGTACTGGCCTATGTACAAATTTAAATGTAAAGGAGGAGGTCAAAACACTGAAAAGAAAGAATGTTCCTTCTCACCAACATTTCTTGAACTCCAGCAATATATTTAGTTGATAAAAAAAATACTCCCTCCTTCCCATCAAGAGTCTTTCTTCAAGGTACAGCTCTTAGATCTAACAATTTAATACGGTATAAGTAGTATAACTATTGGAAATAATCAATTATAGCTACAGAAATTATTTGTTGGTTTAACACTTTAACTAAATGTAAAATATTTACGGAGTAACTTCTTTCTGATACATTTCTTTAATAAAAACAGGACTCCTTTTTGTGGACAGGAGTAATAAGTATAAGCTGCAATTAATTATTTTTAACAAAAACTATTTTCATCTCACAATAGTCTCACACAATCACAATGAGAAGTGACCTACCCTCCTAATCTAACCCATCCATAAAAAGTTTCAATGTCATTAAACATTAAATACATAGTAATTTTTAATCTTCCAAATAATCCAAGAACTAACCACGAGAATGGAAAAAATGTCTTTATGAAATATTCCAGGAAACTTAATAAAATAGCTAAATACTTCATAGAAACCAGTGAAAAAGCCAAACAAGCATTTAAGTTCATACTGCTTTACTAAAATGTATGTGGTACTTGTTAAAGTTTTCTTCTTCAGATTCCAAATTGAACCTAAGTACCCTTTGAAGGAGAAATAAATAATATTTAATTGTCCACCAGTTTGGTTATTAAAAAAAATATTATGTGCAATCCAAGCCAAATAGAGCATGAATACCAGAAAACCACAATCATCTTTTACGCAACGGTGGCCAACATACCAAAGGAACCTCCAATAGATCATGATGCAGCAATTCCGTTATACCCTCAGGCAACTGTGCCATCTGGAATAGGAAATAGAGATGTGTTTCAAATCATCATTAGCAGCAGCACTACCTTAACTCCAACTAGCTGAGGTTAGCGGCATAATTACTCAATGAACTAATAATCATCACCAACTTCAAACACAAGCCTTATGTCACATTCAATGTGACACATTGTCACTAGATCTGTCATAATTTTCATTTCTTAAACAAGCATTTATTCCCCTATTATACGTCAATGTCTTTATGTCTGCATGAATAAAGCATGTTTGGTGGCACTCATTCTTTTCTTATATGCCATTTTAACCAGATTGCCGGATCAGAAACTTTCTACAAAACACCAACTTGAATGTGCCTGTTGAATCGGCCTATGCTAATATAAAAGTGTTGGAGTTAAATTTTCTCCTAGAAAGGAGGGAAATGACATTTCTAACATCATCATTTAGATATTCTTTACTTACAACCATGAAAATAGTTTTTAATACATTTTATATTATTCAGGCTATTCTGGCATTTTAGCTAAATTTTAAGCCACAAATAGGCTTAGTATCTGTAATTTGAGTATTCAACAAAGAGAAGACATAAAGTACTCCTCCATCTAAAAATAAACACACTTTCCTTTTCATCAGTCCCAAAATAAAAGTCCAATTTCTAATCTGGTAAGAAATATGTGGTCATCTTATTTCTCTCTTTCAAATCAATTTCAATCACACACTTTACTTTTCAACTCTTTAAAACTCAATGTCTGGTCAAAGTGGTCTTTTTAGGGAGTAGATATGAAGGACAAATTATGTTGAAACCAAAAATCATTTCAATTTTTCATATGGCACAACCTCATTCTTATCCCCAGTGCATTTTTCGCCAATGATATGCCTCAGATATTCTTCAAATTCTTCATCAGGAGCCTGCAACCAGAGCATGAAATACGTCACTTAATATGTTAGGACAACAAATAGCATTTAAATCGATCTCTCAAAAAGACTTCATCTTTGAAGTAAAGAAATGTGTAATCCAACTATTTATTAAAAAAAGAACTATTGCACACCAAACGGACACCAAAAGCTTTTGCAACTCCTGCTACAGTAACATCTGAAGGCAAGGGCCCAACCCCTCCATAGATGAACACCTGCAATGTCAAGAACAGAGCAGTAACAAAATGAAGTTCTAATAGAAAAAGCGGTGACAGCCAAAGACAAAACTAAAGGGAAGGAAATCTATATAAACCATATCATTTGTAGATTTTCTCCTCTCCACTTCCTCAGAAACAGAGTCTACCTGAATTTAGGAATAACAAAATCTGGGATAAATTGCCTACAAAATTTATTACTTTAACCTAAAAACTATTATCACAACATACTCATACAACCTACTCACATCATTACGAGTTACAGCAAGATGAGAGACAGCCCACCCAATTGAATGGAGCTTTTTGCACAATGAAGAACCCAACTTGTCCTCAACATTGCCAAATCTGAGCTATGAAGCCAAGAGAAATATATGGAATAAGCCAACTTAAATAAAATAGTAATTTTAAATTTTTAATTACACCTGATGCCTTCATTTAAAATACAAACGATTTTGATGCAGGTCAATGTTCAGTCAAAAAGACAACACTGAGTAAAAATCTCAGCCTACGCTTTATTTAGCTTCCAACTGACCCTGATTATAAGCAAATTAGTGAAAGAAAAAGCTTCTTTATTTTTGGGAATACATTGTAGCTACATTGGACGTAAAAATCAAACCAATACTTGGTTAAGCCAAATAGTGGAGTAGCATCCAATAATAATAGAAAAAGTGACTAGAAATATATCCAAGAGACTTCTCAAGGATTACATGGTATGAGAGCCGAGGATGCTAAAAATGACTTACAAAATCTCATCACCAACACCAACTATTGAGGCAGTTAATACGACTTTCTTGTTTGAATCTTCACTTTTCAAACCATTGCTAAGACATGGGTTTTTAGCAGATACTGGGGAAGAATATTTCTTCACTCTTCCAGCTCTTTCCAACCTTCCATCTTGGAGTAAATATGCCGGTTTGAATTTTTCTCCATTATTGTCAGGATGGTTAACACAAAGCAATTCATTGGGTACAGTGTCATGGATGCTACCAATGGACGTATACCTTAAATATTATGAGCAGAAAAGCATGTGTGAATTACCTTGATGGATCAGAAAGAAATAAATAAGAAAGTGTCACAAGAATTTGAAACATGTATAATCATGACAGTGACAAACTCAGTAAAATCCCAACTCCACTGGGGGTTTGGGATCAAGATGTATGCAACCTTATCCCGGTAAAAAAAATGAGAGGTTGTTTTCACTAGACCTAGTGCGTGCTGCATTTACTGTCCAAAACTTCATAGAAAGTCTGAAGCATGAAAAGCAGTCCAATATTTACCCAAAACAAATATATTGTCAAAAATAACTCTTTTAGCACCATTGGCAATGGGCAAAACTAAACATATATATTGATGTGAATTACAAAAAGATACTCCCTCCATCCCTGAAAAAATATCTTGTTTTCCTTATTTGGACGTCCCAAAATAAATGTATCATTTCATTTAAAGAATGAAATGTGGGTTCACATTATTTCTCTCCTCTTCATAAACCTCCGCCATACAATTTCACTTTTTCTTTAACTCCATGAAAGTCAACCCAGGACATTCTTTCAAGGACAGATAGAGTATAATAGAAGATGATCAAATTTTGATCGTAATTAACTTTGATGTGTTCCAAATCTAAACTAAGGGAAAAATTACCCTTGGTCATAAAGGCTGCAATAGCGAACTTTACAAGTCAATAGGAAAGCCCATACATCTCTGCCAAATTTCAGCACGAACAAATTATTTATCAGTTTCCAGAAATCCAAATCAAAACCAAATATGAAAGCTATCATGGAATGGATACACAACAAAATGTCAATTCCAAACATCCTTGAAACTTTAAAATGGAACTATTTGTTTGGAAAGAAAAAAGTGAAGGAAACACGGCCATACAACAAAGTGTAGTATAGGTGATGGTGCCTCTTGGATTTCAAAATTGCCATTTTCATATAATTCAAACAGGTTGGAATAATATGGCTGCTATGCCAATAAGGACATATAGTGCATGTCTAGTAATGAATTCATTTCTCGCACATGGAAAGTATTGTATATTTTCTAGAATATTTGAGCACAGAAAGTACACTTTGATCTGCACTAGCCAGAACCCTTGTTAATACAAAAGTCTACAACACAATTAGTTTCATGCACAAGTTTTATAAAGTTATGAACCCTAAACTATTTCTTGTCATATATGCCCAAACAGTTTATCATCAACACCTTAATCCCAAGTACCAACTACGGAAGGTTGGTGACATGAAATCTATAGTACTAATTAATTGTCCAAAATTAGTTAACAATATAAACTCATGCAAAAAATTGTTAGTTCATCGTGTCAACCTACTTGGTTCTCACAAAGAAATAATGAAATGATCCGTCATCATCATCATAGATTCATAGGGTATAGGTTATGCGTATAGATATTTGATATTGTCATGCTCATTTATTTAATACATCAACAACAAACCCAGTAAAATCCCACAAAAAGTAAGGTCTAGAATAGGGAGGGTGTGTGTATGTAGACCTTATCCCCACTCAAAAGCAGTGAGGCTATTTCCAGAAGAGTCAAGAAACCCCAGCTCAAGCACAATCAATGAAAATCAACAGATAAATAAATAGCTCATTCAACACTAGTATGCACCTGAAACTTCCGCCAGCTTCTCTTTCATATACATAAAGAGCTTATAAAGCAGAGCTAAACCTACCTATAAGACCAATCCAAAATTGGATTCACCCTCATGAAGGATGGCCAGCCAGGTGAGCTGGGTGAGAATTGCTCCTGACCTACCTGAAAGGTTGATAAAATAGATGGTATATTAACACAGACCTTGGTGATAAATCATTTTCATGGAAAACCTAAGGATAATTGAGAAAGTAGAGATCTATAAGGAATTTTCATACCGCAGTAGGATCACCAATTCGAACACCTAGAAAAATAGCTTTAATTGGATTAGCCTTAAGTAGAGTCTCCAACCCAGATTTGAAATCTAGGCGAATAATATCCATTGTCAAATTGTAACTGCTTGGACAAGAGGGGTCACATTAGAGAGATACAAGTATTGTATGATGGTCATGAATTACTTCAGTAGAGACATAAGAAACTGGATAAAGGTGAAATACGACTAGAAACATATCATTCCCATCACGTACGTTGCTGCAATTTCATAAGTGAAAGAGTTAATTTCTGGAAAAGCAGATGGGCTCTCAAAATATATTGTCCTTATCGGAAATGGCATATCACCATAACCAACATCCCCATTGGAATGACATTTCTCACTTTCATGCAAGTAATATCCCGCCCTAAGCAGGTGAAACAAAACCTACAAAGAAACAGTATGGAAAAAAATCACCCTGGAGTACTAGAGTTTATTACGGAGTAAGATTTAAGAAAATAACATGCTTGTAAGTTGTAAGGAACATACAGTAGAATCTTTCCCTCCATTGAAGCTCAATGCAACATCTTCTACACTATTCATATTACCAAAGAAGAACAATAAGAACTTGCAAATTCTATATCATCAAATGATTACCAAACGGAGACCATATTTAGATCATAAACAATATATAACCATAATATATGATACAAAAATTGAAGAAATAAAACACCAAATCATACAAATCTCGGGAATGAAGCTTACGAATACAGAGCAAGAGCTCTTTTGATCACATAAATAGCATTGCGGTACTTGGTTTTTAGCCTTCTATCCTCACACTCTTTGATTGCTCTATCAATCTCCATCTCTTAAGGTCTCTACAAATTGATCCCCTTCTGCACAAAATTACATCCCCAATTTCCCAGAGATCAATCCATCTAATAACCTCAATAATGAAAAAAAACAAAACATGCAATTCTAGTCGTCGTACTGCGACTGAACAAAACTGCGGATTCAACCGGAAGTGAAGAAAAACATGAACGGCAAATTGAAGAAAGCCGTTTGATTTGACCAATTGGTCATACAAAAGCAAAACGAGAGACTTTTCATGTGCAAATGCGATTTGAAGAACTCAAAAATTAACAGTGTTTAATACGGAGTAATTCTGAAGGGTTTTAGAACAGCAAATTTACCTGACGTTGATCTGCTGAAGAGCAATGGAAGAATTCGACGGATGAAATATTTGTATTTATTTATAAATATTCTGTTTCTTTTCATTATGCAGTTGTACGGAGGAAGGTTACACCAAATTTGTTACCAAACTTGTTACGGGAGTCTTATTCTTAAAATTTATTCTTAAAATTGAGAGTCTTGCCCCCTCCAATTCTCTTGATAAACCCTTTCATCCGTCTCGACCCGAACACACACTTCCTTCAATTATACCCACAAGTTAACTCTAAAATTAAAATAAACTTGTGTGTTGCAATTGATGGGGTGAAGGTGTATTCGAGTCAAGGTGGGAGAGTGATTTACTAGAGGGTAAGGAAGGGTAAGAACCGTCAATTTTGCAAATGGGACACCGAAATGCACTAGAGTTATCCCATAACATGAAATTTTAATGTCATAGGAACCCCGTCATATTTCTTAATATTAAGTAAACATTTATTGGTACAAAAGTAAATATTTATATATCACATAAAAAGATTCATATGACTTTAATTAGAGCAGTGGAAATGAACTTCACGCCCAACCACGTTAAAAGTAGTTTTCACGTGTGGGGGGCGTTAAACACCGCCCTCCTCCCTCTGTTATGGCGCGTTATAATTCCTACGTCAAAACTTTGACGCAATTTGAAGCGTTAAAACACTTTCTCTCTTCCTTTTTCTCTCTTTTTTCTTCTTTTCATCTCTATAAATTAAATTATTTTTTTTAAATTCAACAAAAATACAAATCTTTCTTTATCTATCATCGTTTAAAAAAATTATGAATTCAAGTATTTTATTTATTTTTCCATGAATGTAATTTTTTTATTTAATAAATGTGATTTCTCATAATAAATTTAATTTTTTTATTTAATGAATGTAATTTTTCATAATGAATGTAGTTTGTTTATTTAATGAATGTAATTTTTATAATGAATGTAATTATTTTATTTAATGAATGTAATTTCTTTAATGAATGTAACTTTTTTAATGAACTTTTCCCATTTCAATTCTTTTAAAGAATTAAATATTTAAATGTTATTAATTTACTTTTAGAAGATGTGTATTTAAAATATATAAAAATTAAGGTTTGAAGCCCCAGTTTAAAGCATCGGGGCTTCAAATCCATTTCCACTGAAACTGTGAGATAAGTTAAAGCTGACGTGACAGAGAGAGAAGCTTTGAAGCCCCGGGGCTCACGAGTATATCCAGTGCCCTTAGAGTGCACGTTTGGCAAAAGTTCAGGCGTTTAGCTTAAACTTCTTGAAAAGTTTATCAACTCGTAATGTTTAACTATACTATTTTAAGATTAATCTATATTGTTAAAAAATTATCTAGAATACTATCGATAATTAAAATATTTATTCCCCAAACAACGTTAAAATGTGTTCAATTAAGACTTTATATTGAGCTAATTATGTGTGTACACTTGCGTGCATGGCGAGTATTTTTCTATTAAAAATAAAAATGGACTAATTAGACAACGTGAGAATGAGGCTGTAAACACAAAAATTATTTGGAGCAAGGGAGCAATTAGTATACAACACAATCTTTATTTAATTAGAGATCAAATTTCATCTTTTCCAAGGAAACCAAAGATTTACTATTTTTTAGACGTTGAGGTATACTGGAATAAAGTAAAATGAATGTTAAATTATCTATGCTTCTTTTAATATACTAAAGTATTAGTCAGTCAATATAACTTTCGACGTCACCATGGTTCAGCCGTAAACAATCGCTCAATGTTTTAAACATAAAAGTGTGGTTGCATATGTAATTACGGCTTTGTTTGGTAACAGCGTTTTGGATAAAATTTTAATGATGCAGATTAATTCTGAAAACGCTAACGCTAAAGGCTACCGTTGGATAACTTTTTCAAAACGCTAACGTTAATCTCTAACACTGATGCCAAACAGGGCCTACATGTGGTACTTGAGCGGAACTTATGTTTGGAAAGAAACTATCTACCATTTTTGTTTATTGCAAAATAATACTCCCTCCGTCCCATTTTAAATTGCATGTTTTCCTTTTTTCTCTGTCCCAAAATAAATTGCCTGTTAGTGGTTTTTGTAAACTATTAAAAATAAAATACCTAAATTACCCTTAAAATAAGTCATTCTTTTTTCACCTTATCTTCTCATTCATCATTATCCCTCTTAAAAAGTAATGTTAATTTTGAAAAATCAACTATATTTTTTATTTTTCTTAAATATACCCAAAAGTCAAAATGGGCTATTTAAATTGGAACGGAGGGAGTACTCGGTAGTAGAGAGTTAGGGACTATTCCGTTTGTAAGGTGGTAGCGGGTGGTATTACCAAATAGGCAAAGAAGGCCTAATTTCCTTCCTTGTGTACCTTGCAAGTTCTCTCTTATGTTCACAACTTTTTATAGAATGTTTATAAAAAAAGAGTAAACTTAATAAATGTTTCTTTTTATCATGATTTTTTTCGCATATTATTTTTAAATTTTAATAAATTGACTTGAAAATAACTTCATGAAATTTTTATAAACCAAAACGTACAATTTAATACTCTGTATGATACAAAGATAGTGTAATACGGAGTATATATTAGTACAGAGCAGTAAATAATAATAAAAAGTCCAAAACTTATAATAATTGGAGCAGACAATAAAAAGTCCAAAACTTAAAATAATTTGAACATGCATAGGTCCTTTCTGAACACAGTGTTTTTAGTTCATAACTTAACCACATAGAGTCATAGCTTTGATATTGGTAAAATAGCATTGTGCAATTGGCAAAATCAATGAATCTCAAGGGGCAAGACTCGAGTTCGATTTCACGCAATTGCGGTGAAAGGTAACTATGCTAATGTATCTGTAAGTACCGGGTACATACTCCATTCTTTGTCACCAAGTAATTTGTGATCAAAGAATAATTTATTTTCTCTAGCTCACTGATCGTCCGGTCGAGTTTGATGTGATTCTCGGAGATAAGGCTCATTTTTTTATATTGGTAAAATTGGGTATATTAGTTATGATTACTTTTTTGGAAGTGGAGTAATTGTAAGCTTAGACTTTTTAAAAGAAGGCAAATAGGAGTAATATAGTGGTTATTCCCTCTTGAATATATACCACTAAACCACAAATTAAAGCAAATACAAATTGTCAATGTTCATCATTTCTAATGTCATTATAGTCAAAGGCGTGCGCATTAATTATTTGTTTTTGGGTGAATGAATTAAGACATTTTAGTAATTTAACACAAGCTTTAATTAAAAAGCGTAAAGGTAGTGTGTTTGTATTATTGTTTACTCCATATATTACTCAAGAAAAAAATTTATTTTCTGATTTAATATAATTTTAAAAGTCTGAAAAAAAATACTCCATATTTTTCCCTTATTAGGGGAGCGAGAAAGACTAAAAATAAATAAAATAAAATTTTCATATTTTATTTCTGAAATAGAATTTATAATATTGAAATATAATATCAAAAAAACATTTTGAAATGACAAATATAATATCAAATTGTCACAATATAATGGTTATGTTTTAGATATAAAAGCATATCACTCTTATTTTTAATATTGGACAAGAGAAATGCTTGGTTCACAAACACAATGGTGATACGATCGTCGTGGAACGTACCGAGATAGGGAAGGCTTCGAGTGCCCCCGAACTCTAGAAAGCAAGAGAATGAAGGGAAGGAGGGGAGATGCCGCAACCGCTGAGAGAGGCAGCGTACGATCTGGGAAGAGGGACGGAGAGAGGATTTTTTGTTATTAAACTTCTATTCTTAGTGATAATAGGGTTTATCTCTATTTATAGTGAGAGATAATCCCAACAATAAATTACTACGTTTTCTACCCTGACGGTTCAAGAAAAGCGACGAGGTAAAGAATCGTAAAGAAACCCTCGAAGGGGCTTATAAACCGCTCACATAGGAAAATTTAAGTTACAATAATAAATAAATATTTTAATAATAAATAAACATCATGCCGTATAATCCTGTTGCCAAATCGGGGTCCGCCGAACCCTCGTGCTTCTACGTGCAACCACTATCGGGCTGTCTCGATCCTCACTTCTTGTTTCTTCAAGGGGCCTTTCGCTTGGTGTAGCTTGATCCGGTAACATGATTGGTTGCTGCGTAACAAATGGTCACAAACTTTACAAACTTACTATTTGTGAACTTCAATATAAAAAATTAAGTAGTGTAAAATAATTTTAAAATAATAATTTAAACTATAAATAGTAAGTTTGTGAAATTTGTGATCATTCCGTTTGTGAACTTAGCATTTCTTATTGGACAAACAGCTAGCTTAAACGGGATGGGTACGGAATATTATGACATACACGAGTTACATAGGTATGGAATATTATGCAGCACTTATTGTTTTTTCAGTTTAATTGAAAAAGTCTTAAAATATTAATAGCTAGCGTAAACGGGAAAACAAATCCGACCTTAGCTCAGTTGGTAGAGCGGAGGACTGTAGTGGGCCATTCCAAAGTCATCCTTAGGTCGCTGGTTCGAATCCGGCAGGTCGGAATATTTTTTACATTTTAACATTTCTTTTTTTATTTTTTGCACTTTTAACTTTTGTAAATATTAGATATAAATCTTACTCTTGATTATACTACAATTTATTCGATTTATATAGATTTATGCAACATTTCACAAACAACTAAATCAAAGTAATGAAAGAGCTGAATCCATGATTCTTCACTCTTTGTAATTTACTACTAATAAGTTGGTTCAATGTGGTGATGTATTCATACTCCTTATTTTTCTGTGGTGTGGTCATCGTGTGGTGTGCTCATACTCTATCTTGTATTCAAATCGTTTTAAGATCTCATTAAGTATTATTGAAACCTAAAGGATCATCATTTAGTTCGATGCAAATATATGCGGGGTAGTGGTCACTTTTCTGTACAAGGAGAATCTTTGAGCTAACTTCATATGCATCATTTAAAAGGATTTATTGTCTAGATTTATCAACTTAAACACGATGCATGTCCGCAACGGAAAAAAGTATACCACCTTAGATATTAAGTTTACCAAATACCACTTTAGAGCTAACTTTTATACAGAGTAATAAACTTATCGAATACTACTCACAAAGTGCATATTTCTTTAACTTGACTCACTCCAAAAACACATTTGGATAAGTACACCCTTTACACCAACGAATGCAAATATCTTTCACTTTGCTTGCTCAAAATACATTTGAATAAGTATGCCCTTGAAATCATTTTTGGAATTCTCTATGCACCTTTAACTATGTTTTTTCCTAAGAACGAATTGGGATGTTATTGTTGTTTTTCCGAAGAAAGAAAAATCCATTCTGGTTCATTCTCATTCTACCTCAAATTTGTAGAAATTTTCTTTGGGATCGTTAAGTGGTTCACACATTTTAAGAAAATTCTACTACAGAATTAAAAGACCAAAATTTATGTAGGCTACTACATGGGCAAAAAAGAGAGTGTTTGGATTAGTTAAATGACTCCACATGCATCATTTAAAGGGCTTAATATATTGAATTACCAACATGGTGCATATCAATATTTGAAAAGATTGTGTCAAGAGGATAAGCCCATCAAAATTCTCCTAGATCATACTTAGGTACCATATGCAAACTAAGTAGCACCTTTTACACTAAACTTGTTAGATTTTCCTCTTAAAGTACTTGGTATTCATTGGTTTGGCACATGGCAACTATCATTAATCAAATTCTTACATGATATTAAGAATTGTGAGATTGGTAAAATTCTTACATGATATGAACACCATGTGTGTGCTTTGTGCTAAGGATGATGAGACATGCGACCATTTATTCATCAATTGCGACTACACTAGAAACGTGCGGGGTAGACTTTCTACAATGTCTCAAGTAAACCAAATACCCCTAAACTTATTTGCAATGGTATAAAGAGTTGCCCTCAATCAAACCCAATATGAGAAAGAACATACTCACTTTCAGCTTTAGCACCCAACTCTACTAGGTTTGGAATGATATAAATAAGAGTGTTTTTCAAAGCATTGCATATGACCATGTGAGGACTAGTTTAAATATTAAAGTCTCTGTTGGGAGGCTGGTAGCAAAAGGGCCTAATGGCCGATTGGCAGGAGCGCGAAATGGCGTAATAGTCAGGATTGACTCGTAGTGAAGGCAAGGGTGAGATGATTTATACTTTACATAAACATCTTTTGTTCGAATTAAGAACAAATCTCATTCCTTATCAGTCATTGATTTACCTCCTCTCAGCATATTATCCGGGCTATGGTCTATGGAGAGTCATCCTTTATTAAAGTTTGAGTTGCTTTAAGGTTTGAATATCTTTCTACTTTTGGTAAGCAAATTGTCCACTGGTACGATGAGTTAGCATGTAGTAACCTCTAACTCTTTTTCTAGCGTTTGCTTTGGCATCATTGAGAGATTAGTCTAGCCTGGTTATCTCTAATGAGGGCCTTGTATTCTTTCTCCTTTCTTTGGGAGATTGCATTTTATTAAAAGCTTGCCTTGGTTCAATAATAATAATAATAATAATAAAACAGAAAATTACCTAAAAACCATAAACGTCTCAATTACGAAATATAACATTTCAAAATACAAGCCTAATGATTTTATTTGTGTTAAGTATAGCATGCATACCAGAGGTATTAAATTAACCACACCGTCACTAAAATTTCTCCACGAGCAAGTAGCAACATCAAGAAGCAATGCCAGCCAGGACTAATTTATATAACCACACCATCGCTTTTGGTCATATACTCCTATGCCATATCAAACTATTTACTCCTCGGCTTTTACTTTTCCACTTTGGTGCACGACTACAAATTTCACAATTTGTGGTGGTGGCAGCGAGGAAAGGGGGCAGTGTCCCTCTTCACACAAGTGTAAATCTGCGCCTGCCAGAAAGGTACAAAAGTTGAAAGAAATAGTGATATGTTTGGATACACACTGTAACACCCTAATCCGTCCAGGTCTGCAGCCCTTTTCGGACTAAAGTATAAACTTGGTATTCGTAAACATTTAAAATATTTCAAATATTTAAAACTTTATTTCATAATGAATAATTCAAAATAGTAACGGAGTAATTTAATGTTGCGGAAGCATAATACAAACATAATTCGTTTTTTGTCTTTTCAACAGTAATTTTAATGCAAAACACACATCCGTCCGATCTTCTCATCCCATCTGCCTCCAGGAAATCATTTCTTCATTCTTTTTGTTTACCTGCGTGTAGCAAATAAAACATACTACACGCTCAGCGTTTAAGCTGAGTAAGCATATCTAATGCGTCGAACATCCATATAAATTGAATCTCAATTCACAAACAACCATTTGATGTCATGCACACAATATATAATTCATTCATGATATTTTCCATTTTTCAATATTCAACATTCAATGCTCAACAATATCTTTAACTAAGCTTAGTCTAAAAGATTTGATGATTACCAACTCTTAAACTATTTCTAGTTTAAGGTACTTCTAACCAACTCTTAAGCTAGGTCATTAGTTTAAGGTACATATTCCAATTTATTTACCAACTCTTAAACTAGCCTTCGCTTAAGGTACAAATCCAGAAAACTGAACAGTAGATTACTAACTGTCAGGTTGGGTGGTATCCCCAAACGAGTTCCTCTAGTTTGGTTTATGGATCCCGTACGTACGTTTTTACCCAAGGCCACCGAATATACGTTCTTATACTCGCAAGGCCCATTCTAATCAGAAGTCTATCTTAGAGGTCTTCTAAGTAGCCTTAATAGTATAGTTCATTAATTCATTATTATCAACTTAACAATTCATGATCATCATTCAGAGTATTCAACATAATTAATTATCATAATCAATAGTTAAACAATCATAAAATCTAATAACAAATAGTGGTCTAGTATCGAGTGTTAGCACCCGAACTTATCATCACGCATCATATTATGTTTTTATATGTGAAACATCATTTTATTGTACAAAATCATATTTATATTGTCTAT